ATATTTTAAAACGTCAAAACAAAATGTAGTTTCAGTTATCCAAAACTTACAAACATAACTCGAGCGTACGTTATTTTTGTGATTAAAATAAAAACTTCAGTTTTCTTGCATGTTTCCAACATAATGGTTGTCGTCATTTCAAGCTGTTATCATAGTTATTTTCTAATTGCACGCATTCTAAAGTAGACTTGTAGGTTTGTTTCTTGTTTTCAGTTTGTCGTGTCGGCAAAAGGAGAACACTCAAGACTCGTGGGACGCTGTAATTTATGAATAAAAAAACGGTCGTTAATTCCACCTTCGTACCTAACAATGTTAAATTATGCTCAGAGCGAGACAATTGGCGAGAGCTTGATGCAAAGTTAGGCTTATGTACGGGTAGATTAAGGCCTACGTAAAAAAACTCGGAGGGTAAGTTTATTCGGAAGATCCCGACAGACGAAAAGTTTTACATCAAGTGTTACAAATAAGGCTAGAATGTGGGTGCTTAGTTGACGACAAGTACGTGCTCCATCATTGAAATTTCTTCCGCAAAGAGACTTGTTACTGTAAGAAAGAAAAATTAGGTCAATATATCTTAAAGTCTGAAGTTGTCAACTGTTTATGTATTTAAGTAAATGCATGATTTATCCCTATTGGTCTAGATGGCCTAGAGTATACAGAAACAAAAGTACCCGTAATATGATACGATATGCATGTCCAGATGTTTCAGATTTAAGCGTTAGCATAAATCATTAAGCCGAGTAAAACAACAACAACGTACATACAGGGTTTATTTATATTAAATTTACACGTCTATTGACCTGAAATAAAGAAAGGAATAAACATTTTGTGACAATTTAGAATAAACAAGAAAAACCATGCGTTTATTTCATACATTTTTTTTTGTATATTTAAGACGTTTTGAATTAAAATTTTATAATATTATTTATGGTTTCTTGTATGATAACTGGCTTTTCCCTTTTCTTTAATTTTTAAGAAGCATATTTTTTAATGAAGTACTAAATTATTGTTAATCAAGAGGCTAACTTACAGATAATCAATGGGTCGAGGGTTCGAATCTCCGTCACCCAACACGCCCGCCTTTTGAGCCGTGGGGTGTTATAATGTCATGGTCAATCCTACTATTTGTTGGTAAAAGAGTAGTCCAAGAGTTGGCGGTGGGTGGTGATGACTAGCTGCCTTCCCTCTAGTCTAGTATCACTGGTAAAATTAAGGACGGCTAACGCAGATGTCACTCGAGTAGCTTTGCGCGGAATTAAAAAAAAACGATGATTTAAAGAAATTATGTGACTTGACAGAACCGTCATCCAAAGACAAAACACAATATGTTATAAGGAAGAACTATGGCAGCCATTAACGCCCGCAGGAAGGGGCAAGAGGGGACATTGTGAGGTAAACTTAACACAGTAATTAAACTAATTATTCTTTGTAATCTTTATTAAAACTGTAAATTTGCATTTGCGTTTAAACACGTATAACACGTATTCTTTTAGTCTGTTGAATTACACTGTAAAAAGTTGATCCCCTACATACATGTTTTGCACCCCCACCCCCCCGAAAATATTTCTATGGGTGCCCATGATGGCAACGTTTAATAATCCAGGAGGACTCATGTTCTTTAGCCCAAATTTAAAATAAATCTTGTTAAGGGACCAACAACATATCAAGGGACCCTACCTCCCACGCTAGCTGGCTGCACTCAGTTACAACACAGAATCTACAAAAAGGTTGGCTTAAACCCACTAATCGGGCGACTACTACCAGATTTTAAAATAAAGCAGTTGCACATCTATTGAAAAGTCACACATCATCCCCTCGCACGTGACACTCTCACTCAGAATAACGATCAGCGATTCCCAAACTTCGGGTCGCAGAAGAAAGTTAGTTAGTTTAGCAGTGAAAAACTAGTCATCACCACCCATCGCCAACTCTTGGGTTACTCTTTTACCAACGAATAGTGAGATTGACCGTCACATTATAACGCCCCCACGGCTGAAAGGGCGAGCATGTTCGAACCTGCCACCCTCAGATTGCGAGTCAAGCGCCCTAACCCTAATGACACATAAACATATTTTTATTTATAAGGACACTAATAACCTTCACTGAAATATAATAGCAACCCCCTCTATCCCCCAATTGAATATGGTACTGTATGGGAGCCCAGAAAATTGCCTGAGTATGCATGCAGGTGGGGGAGGGAGTGTCGTGAGAACTGAGAAACTTGAGGAACCCTTGGTACAAATTGATAAAAATATAAAATGTTCCCGAAAAATGATGTCAGCTCTTTAACAGTGTCTAAAATCCATAATAAACGTAGAGGATCCAGCCAATCAAAGAAAACATTAGGCTTTACGTCACAGAATCTCCTTTCAGTTTTACCTTTGGTGAAATTTAAACCTGTAAAGTATATATATCTGTAATCATGGATAATGTTTAATTTGATTTTAATATCATATTAATTACCACACAACGAGTAATTTAATTTCCGATATTGAGAGAGCGCGTTTGAGCGTGATCTTTACGTTATTAACAGTCGACGCTGTCCCTTTAAAAACATGACGTGTAAATTTCTCACGCCGATTAGATAAACATGTTAGGTCAAAACCCCATTGGCCCAGAATTAATTAATAAACTTAAAAAAAAAAAAAAACAAGTCAAACAGTGACCTATATGTCTCGCGCAGTAACTGTAACTATTTCATTAAGTTTTGTTATTTTGCTACTAAAGCTGAAATACGGGAACAAAATCAGGTGTTCACTGAAGAGGTTCATGAGGTGTAACCTCCTCGTGCACTGTTTTTTTTTGGGGGGGGGTGATAAATAGAAAGGGAAATGAGATAAAATGTAAATAGATTACCAGAACTTTTGATTTAATAATCTTGGTTATATCACAGCTATAAATATACTGTAGCTGTTGAAGAGGAGTTTTAATCCGTCCTCCTACCCCAACAACATTTAATTTAAAATGTAATAAACATTTACTGGGGTGGGGGTTAGACTCAATTTCAAAATATTCGGTACAATCAGTGTTATGCCTGACTATATAATTTGGTAAAAATCAACTCAAATTTGAACTTTAAAGTCGAGGCCCACATCAAGATTTGTGAAGGGGGGAGGAGAGAGAGAGTGAGACTCCGCCTCCTTGGATTCTAGTTGGTTTGTTTGTCTTGAATTTCGCGCAAAGCTACACGAGGGCTATCTGCGCTAGCCGTCCCTAATTTAGAAGCGTAAGACTAGAGGGAAGGCAGCTAGTCATCACCACCCACCGCCAACTCTTGGGCTACTCTTTTACCAACGAATAGTGGGATTGACCGTCACATTATAACGCACCCACGGCTGAAAGGGCGAGCACTTTGGGTGTGACGGGGATTCGAACCCGCGACCCTCAAATTGCGAGTCGAGCGTCCTAACCACCTGGCCATATTGGATTCTAGAGTGATGGTCATTTATTACACTGAAGTAATCTAAATTGTTGTTGATATTTTAAGAAAATTTAACGTTTATGTGGTCAATTAATTTTTCTCTCTCTTTTTTTTGGGGGGGGGGGTTACTGAAATGCGAAATTTTGGAAAGTAAACGAAAAAAAAACTATGAAATCTCATTCTTATTTTACCATCGTTGTTCCTTATTCTTTCTCTCTCTCATCTAAGCTTTAGCATTATTGTTACTTTTACACATGTGCATTTATTTGTTCAGTTTCGGGTTGACGACTTATCAATCGTTGTTCATTCGTTTCATTAATTTAAAAATATTTGTACTTCATATCTGTTAATAAGGAAGTCCTAGAGTTACATACACATGGAAACAGTTCTAATAACACGTTAGATCGCATATCACGAAAGAGATTCTGATCAGGGTTTGTAAAATGTGGTTTAATAATCTCTCTTTAACTCCTGGGGATAAAGGTGTAAAGTTTTTAACGCAGTGAAGAAAATAGGTAAAAATATAAAAATGTAGGAATTTCTTTCTCTCCATTCACTTATCTAAAAAAAATCATTGCTACAAAACTATAAAAATTATTTGATTTGAAATTTTCGGAGCATTTCGAACCAGTAACAATAACACAATCTAATAGAATGGTGTGACCCAGTGCTTTGTCTTGTATTCGAAAGATTGCAAGTTCGAAGTTTACCCATGCCTAGGCCCCCAAGTGGCACAGTGGTATGTCTGCTAGAAACCGGGTTTCGATACCCGTGGTGGGCAGAGCACAGATAGCCCTTTGTGTAGCTTTGTGTTTAATAACAAACAACAACCCATGCCTAGTCGTTGTGTCCTTCCCCTAAAATTTGCTTCGGGTTACCCAACTAACACCTGGGGGGGGGGGTAATTTACAATGTATTAGGACAGCGGAAGTCACGTGGCGCTGGTAACACGTCATGAGATTCTCGAAGGATCTTGAATTGTCCTGGCAACTCTAGTCTGTTCCAGGCGCCCTCTTTTTTTAGTATATAAGCCCGGCAAATAAAGCAGAATGATATAGACAGAGAGAGATTGAAGATAAGAGATAATCGAGTCAAGCCGTAAGTAAAGTGTGTGAATCACTGTGATTTATAGCGTGTGTTCATAAAAGTAGTCAAGTTTAAAGTGACTGTGGAAATTATGTGTATTGGAAAGTTGTATCGAGAAAGAATAAACTAGTTTTAATTAAGAAAGGACTTGTATCGCTAAAGTTTCTCGGAAAGAACTTCTACGGGAAATTAACAAAAAAGTAGATACGCAACAAATGGAATAGCATCCTGTCCAGGAGGAAAGAAAAAATACTTTGATCCGCTTGTGCTACCAGAAATCGCAGTTAAGCCTTTAAGACGAGGAATACAATTTAACAGTGTCATTGGTCCAAAAGAAATGGCTTAAGGGTAATTACTATAATACAATAATGATAAAAAAAAACAATTTAATGCATATTTTTTACAGTCCTGTTCCTTCGTCCATTGCCGCTCAAAATCGCGGGTTTGTAAAAAAAAATAGATAAAAAATAAGCGTTTCTGAAACACCATTTTTACTCACCCCTGCTTTCGAACCGAAATGGACAAATTAACAGGATTGTGAAAAAAAAACAAAAAAAAACACGTGCAGTTTTTAGGCCTACTGAGTTTCCAATATTTCGTCGGCTTTCGGCATTCAAACCTTAACTTTTAAAGTACAATAACGAGTTTAACACCTCGTGTATTCTTAAAGAACCCCTAATCATCGACCCACGCTTCCAACGAGGGTTTTGCCGCAATCCTAGACTTCAATAAAAATATCAATGTCTTTCAAATGTGAGCGGAAGATGTGATAATCTACGTCAACTTCAACATTATACATTTCTTTGTTTGTTTGTAATCAAGCACAAAGCTACACAATGGGCTATCTGTGCTCTGTATCGAAACCCGAATTCTAGTGTTCTAAGTCTGCGGACGTGTCGCTGTGCCACTGGGGGGGGGGGTGGCTATACATTTCTTTGTTTGTTTGTAATTCAGCACAAAGCTACACAATGGGCTATCTGTGCTCTGCCCACCACGGGTATCGAAACCCGAATTCTAGTGTTCTAAGTCTGCGGACGTGTCGCTGTGCCACTGGGGGGGGGGGGGGGCTATACATTTCCGAGAAAATATTTGTATAATATCCCCTCTTGTCTGTAAAATGCGCTTTTTCTATGTTTATGTTTAAGAGATTAAGTGCACGAAATTCTCGATCGAAAATTTTGCAAATAGTTTTTTGAATTGAAATAAGTTCGTAGGAACTACAGCTATTTTACTTAACCGACATCACTTAGACTTAACCCACAGACGACATATTTCTCTAAATTTTCTTTGCTTTTGAATTTCGCGCTAAGCTACTCGAGAACTACCTGCGCTGGCTGTCCCTAATTTAGGCTAGAAGGAAGGCAGCCCCACCCACTCTTGTCCTACTCTTTACCAAAGAAAAGTGGGGTTCACCGTCACATTATAACGTCCCCACCGCTGAAAAGACGAGCATGTTCGGTGATGGGATTCAAACCCGCGATCCGCGTATTGCGAGTCAAGTACCCTAACCACCAGTTTATGCTACTACGCCCGTTGCAAATTTTAAAATAAGAAGTAACCACAAAGTTCACCTTTTCAGCCCAATTTGTATTTAGATTAGTGGTTATCTTGTTTTGAAAAATACGCTTTCTAGTATGACCACCAGGAGGACTAAAGGACACTGCTTTAATAGTTTTCAATGAAGCGTCTTTCTTATTAATTTATAACATGAATTCCTCTAATCTTTGATTCCAGAGCTTACCCACCGCCATGTTGTTACTCTTAAGCCAGTTCTCACAGGCTTAAGTTATGTATGAGAGGAGACCAACTAAAGTTCCCTCCCCCCTGCATTGAAGTGGGAAATGAAAATCATACCTATGTATTCATCAACCAAACTTAACTGTAATTATAATGAGATGGCGACCCCCAAATTGTAACTTTGATTTAACATGAAGTCGTAGAGAAGTATATATATATAGCCGTTTTGAACGTATTGTGGAAAAAATTATCCTGATGACGTCATCTACTTGAAAGGAAAGTACCGAGTTTTTTTATAAATTGTCTTAAAACTTATATCTACACTTACCCCTTTCGTTCAGTGAAGCGAGCGTTTCCTAAGTTTCGGTTAGAAATATAAGCAAAACTAACAAACAGTACCAGAAGCACCGGTCTTCTAATGTCTTTGGCCACCATCTTTCCAGGCAGTAATTGCGTTCTTTCAAATTACTTGCGAACAGAAATTCTTCGCCACAAGTTTCAAATGGATGCTGTCATAACAAAATCTTTTTTTCTTCTTCTTTGTTCCAATCGTAACGCGCTTGGACAAAAGTATCACCAGGTCATCACTGAGAAAGAGATAGCACGCGGTAACGTGCGCTTTCTCTACTAGCATAAACATATCACAAGTTCGTCTGCTTGGACAGCGATTGGCTCTCCCCCATGCGGCAGGATTGGCAGAATAAAAGATCTGGAATGCCATAATCTCAAGTGACTTTAAAATTATTTCAATATAAAAGTTTCAGGGCCTAGTTGATGAACGAGCTCTTAAGGGTCAGCTTTTAATTAATAACTGACTTTTCATGATATATTCTTTATTTTAGGCTAATGATTTGTTTATATGAGCGCGAGGAAGCGCCACCTCATCTGGTCAGCGTAACCGAAAAGCTAGTGTCGTCAGGGTCAAGATTTCAAACCATGACGCCTGTCTCAAACCGGTGCAGCTCGTATCACATTTCCTCTGTACTTTGCGTCTCATATAAATTCTCTCAACCGCTTCTTCTCCCCCTCGTGTAATATAAACCTATATAGATACCACGTGACTTGAGAAGCCTGTTTTCATATTTTGTGAAAATGAACACACCAGTTGTTCACCAGAATAGGCGCTGGTTTGTTTCTCTCATCCTTTCTAACTTTGACGTTGTGTTTAAAACGTTTTTTTTTTGTTTTTTTTTGTGTGTTGTTGTTTTTTACATATTATCCGTTAACTCATATTTTTTGAAACATGTTTTGAGATATATCACATCCTGCTACTTAAAAACTTTCGGGAATTATTTAAAAAATCAATTTCTGGATACATTAAAACATGTGCATATTGCGAAGTTACACTCGGTTTAAAAGGAAGTTAACACTAATTTGTCTTTCTTTTGTAACTCAATGTGTGTGTGTGTGTGTATGCGGTTCATCCGGGTTCTCTAAATGTCATCAAATTTGATTCAGAAAGCTACATGTGAAAGTCCTTAAAAGATAAAGAACGGTCGACACAAACCTGAAATTATTACTTGATATCAAGCAGTTAAAATCGTTGAGTTGTTGTTGTTGTTGTTTATTATTATCAAGCACAAAGCTACACAAAGGGCTATCTGTGCTCTTCCCACCACAGGTATCGAAACCCGGTTTCCAGCAGTGTAAGTCCGCAGACATACCGCTGTGCCACTGGGGGGGGGGGCGTTAACATTCGGTGTTCGATCCAAACAGTGGGGTTTGCTCAGACTGCCTGTTACGCAACTTTGTGATTAACAACAAACAAACATCAGTTGCTTCAACTCGATTTCAAAAAAAGGACGTTTTTTTCTACATGGAATAAAAGTTAGAATGATCAGACTTTTACCTTAAAATTTGATGACTTTTACTTGAAAACACTTTATTTAAATCTGAACTCTATCGTGTAGACCAATAAATCAAGGAAAATCTCGATGTCTTTCTCTTCTTCTTCTCAGTAAAGTTGTTTCTTGATGTTAGAATAAAACACCTCTGTGAGTTTCTTTCTTACACATACAAACATCCAGTATTTAATTCTAGGATAAATTTCACGTTAAAAGGAAATGATAAAAAAAATTACCTCCCTTAACACATTAATGCAATATAACTTGGAAACTAAAAGAATATTGTAGATATGCAATAAAATATCTTTCAGCTTATTGTCTAAATAAGTTCACGAAGCAAGAACTTATCCGTAAAGAAGGCTTTCTTTGAAAGATACTAAGTTAAAACGTTAGGAATGTGAATACATATAAAAATAAAAACTGTTTTACCTTAAGAATACAAAGAAATCTGTGTGTAAATAATTCTATTAGTTTCCTGCATGTTAGTATATATATATATATATATATATACGATAATTTCAGAATTTCCTGATGGTCACCAATAAAGTTGAGCTCTCAAAGCAGGCTTGAAGCCAGTGATCAGCTCGCAGTGAGAAATTTCACTGTTTAAAGAGGGTGGTCCTTGTGTGACTTAACAACCCGAAACCATGATTAGTGGACAGTGTTTTCACTTTCTAGAATTTGTACCGAGACTCCAGGAGTTATGTATGTTTGTGTTTGTTTTTTTTATAGAAAAGCCACATCGGGTGAATCGAACCCCTGATTTTAGTATTGTAAATATAAAGACCTACCACTGTCCCACTGGAGGACCCGGGATTTATGGCTCTGAAATATATACAGTTAGTTAGAGAAACGGAAGCTATTTATCCAAAGGAACTCCAACAGCGAGTCCTCCAATGCAGCCATAGATTTGTGGTTTGCCACGATGATCTGGTTGGTGATCTCTCTAGCTCTTGCGAGTCCTCACTAGATCCTCCCACAAATGATGAACGTCCTACTCCAATTGCGTTGGTGGCTCTCATCACTTTCGCAGCCAATCATCTTCTGGTTTGTAGAGTGGGTAGATGTCTGTCCACCTGAAACTATTTCAGGAGATTAAAAAGCAGCCCGTACCTGTCCAACCTTAATTCTGGACTCTTTGGATGATATGTTGATAAAGTATGTGTTCTTATGCCCGTGATCATCACTGCTACTGGTTTTGAATTCCTGCTGGAATAGTGGTGGTGGCAGCTGCCATGATCAGTATTGTCCTGGAGCATTTGATAGCCCTTCTCAATTCACTGACTATCTGTGGCCGCAAGTTGAGGTCAAAGTAACTAATATAGCAATTTTTGGCAAACAGGACGACCAATTGGTTTCAGATTGAAAAGGCTGGATGTTTTTGGTAACGTATGATCAAGAGGGCTTTTATAAATGAAAATAATATCTTCTTTGCTCCTGACAGCAAGACAAAAACTATTGTGTACAAAGAAGCTGTACAGTAGATCAATAAATTAGCATGTAAATAAAGAACTAAATCAGTTAAAGCCATTTTCATCCTAGCAACGGGGAGTGTTCTGTTTGTGGAGAATAATTTATTCTATCCACCATTGTTAGGGTTACCAGTGGTCCCGTATTACAAGGAACGTCCGTAATTTAAATAGAAAACTTTGTTCCGTACTGATGTAAGGGACTTCTTTTATCCTTTATTTGAACACATTAAAAATATTATCATTGTGCAAAGGCAGTTTTGTTATTACCTTACTTTCCGATGATACAGAGTTTGTAAACTTATACAATGTTGTAATACAGAATTGGTCTCGTGATTTACTGAACCAATTTACCTAGCGGAAGCTGTGGAACTAATATTATTAGCGGCTAACATTAGCTGCAGTACACACTTTTACAGTGGTGAAGTAAAACGTTAGGTTCGAGAGTAAAGCAGTGGGAACACCATACGGTCCTCTTGGACTTAAACAGAAATAAAACGAAGAGACTGTGTATATAAAAAAATCAATGGGAAGAGAAAAAACACACGATAGGGTTAAAACCTGTCAGTTGCAATATGGGTAACGCTTTTGTATTTTGTGAAGTTACTACCGGATAAGGAGACGAAACTGTCCGGGAATTACAGAGTGGTGAAAGTAGTAGCAGTAAATACCCCCGGTGAGGAGAGGTGAGTACTGGTTATTATTAATTATAATAATATCTGGAGGAGAGGTGCTGCGGGGATACTAAGAAACTGTCCCGTATTTTTGAAATACATTGTTGGTAATCCTAATTAATGTGTCCAGATATATTCTCATCTTAGTCCATTCTAACACCTTGTACATACTTCTCCAAGGTTGCCTGGTTTATTCACAAGCCCTAGTGGCTCTCGAAACAGGCCCCTCCTTAACCAACCAAATTTAGCGATGCATCTCTGTTTAAAAGCTATATTTACACAAAATAACAGAAAATAACTTTCCGTTAAAATAACATAGCACATCAGGGAAGCAGGTTTAAAAGCTCTTCTTTAGAAAGTTAAAAAAAATCACACACAGTAAGTCTTGGTTACTTGGTTGATGTTTCTAATATGTGTCTGTAAGTCTTCAAAGTACTCGCTCTTTACCAACTATCAATTTAATGAGTATCTAAGTACTGACTGTGTGATTGGTTATTCTTAGTGGCGTGATTTGATTATCTTTTAAACTAACAATGAGGTTAATTATACCTTTGTAAAGTTTATTGAGGTGAGGAAGATTTGGAGAGAAACTGTTTTAACTAAGAATAAATGTTTAACTTAAAGGCTAACCAAACAGACTCTTGTCACAAAAAAAACTGTTACCCTCGATCTATCTGATATTAAAGTGACTGTTAAAAAGAAAAGTTTACAACCCGAAAATATGATTGGTCTGTCTCTGTAGTCTATCTACACCAACAGTGATGTTGTTTTTAATGTCCCTGTAACCTATTAGCTACTCTCTAACTCCCCTTAACTGAAAAAGGCTGGTGCTTTCTTTCGAGCATGCGCGCAAACTCCCTCAACTAAACAGGCTTGCTTCAGCCATATATTTTGCTTTGCTTGCGTGTACTCGCAAGAATCAGCTATACAATGACTTTACAAAAACGTTTGGTATCGGCAAATTTTCATTTAGGTGGTGTTGCAGCAACACTATTAGCTCCCTCTAGCATTTTCCCTTTCAGGGACCCTGCGGAAGCACATCTAGTACTGAATGACTAATCAGAAAACTAAAAATGTGGCGATAAAATTATACAAAGAAATGTTTCTTTAACATATGTTATTATTATTTTCCCGTTTGTTTATTGTGCGTTTCTTTGTGATGCAGTGGTATTCTCGTCTCGTGATGCAAGAGCTATGGATGTCTAGTCTTAATCATGTCATGCTATGCGAATTCCGCATGCCTACCCTTGCACTTCCAGCAGTATCCTGTTTTTAGAGTGACGTCACCGCCACCTGTTAGTAAAACTGCACAAGTCATGCTGCGTTAAAATAGCATGACAGCTAGTGAATGCACCGAAGTTCAACGTCACAAACGTAAAGATCGCATGCTCTGCTTCGTTTGATTTTATGATTTGTTTATTTTACATTTTAGTTGATATACTTTATGTGTCGACTGGATCTCATCTACAAATAGGGCGAGTAAACCTGTTCTCTGTATGCGTTTTGTTTTATTCTGGAAGTACATTACATTATTAAGTTATTATTACATGACCTTCTTGAAAACCCATCGCACGTCACTGTTATATTAGCATTTCTGGAACATGTATCTCCATTGTCCAGTCAGATAATTAAACACATTT